GGTGAGATATATAAAATATATATATATATATATATATATATATATAAGATAATTGTATTTGATTCTATAATTAATTTAAGATAAATTATAAATATATTTTTTGAAATTTACTTCAAATATGAATCATGTCCTCTAATTCTGAAAATTATATCACGCTCTTTCTTTTCTTTTTAATTTTATTTTTGAAACAAAAAAGAAAACACAGATGGCTGTGGAAACTTCTTCAAAAATAGAATTGTCAAGATCCAATAAAGCTTTATAGAACGTTATTAACTAATTTAAGTTATGCACTCAAGAAGTGGGTAATTGCTTTGTTACTTGTCAAAAGGGAGTTTGATCATAAACAAAAGGCAAGGTCCCTTTTAGGAAACCGCATTAATGGTTCAATTCCAAAGGAAATCAAATCAGAGACATTGCTACTCTTGAGGAGCTGTAAGTCATGGATACTGTTCTGTCTACTGGACTAATAAATGAAGCCTGACCTTGATTTTAACGTGAACTATCTTATACAGGGTCTTGGAAGATAATAAGCCTGGGCACCCACGAGGATCGACATGGGCCGGGCCCCTACACATTGACGATATAAACATTTATATTGACGGTGTGAACATTCACATTAAGGGTATTTTGGTAATTATGTCACCCATAGGACTTATTGAAACATAAGAAAATAATGTGAATTAAATGGAACATAAGTAGATGAAAAGGGTATTTTGGTCTTCTTATCTCAAATTGGACCTAATGGAATAGTCAAAAAGAATATGGGTTGGATGGAATAAAGCTCCTAAAAAATGGATTTATCAAAAAAGCTCCCAATAATATTACTCTTATTAAATACAAGAATACTCTTAAAATAAAAGTATAACTTGTAATACATGAAAACACATATTTTCGTTGAGTATATATATAGAATAATTTTCTAGTAAGTTTGCTTGTCGTGCTTGTGGTCCAGGAGAAACAATTCTTGAATACCTCTAACTTTCACATGATCTTTAAAATTGTTCTATGATATTTTTTCTGTCTTTATTAAATTGTCACGAAATAAAAACTTGAAAAAGACATGATCACTACTATTCTTTCTTTCTTTTATTATTATTATTATTATTTGGATGCATTGAAGGGGAGACTCGTGAACCTCTAGTTAGACACCAATCTGATACCAAATTGATATTAAAATGGTTGATTGAAGTTTGTATTTATTTTGAATATATATGATTATTTTATAAGAAAAAATATTTATATTAGACATGGAGATAATAAAATCCATATTTATTAATACATGTGACATCTATTTTTTAAGTAAAATTTTAATACAATATTGATACCACGTCATGCATATCTTAATATCATTTAATCTAATTATTGTTAATATAATATTTTAGAATAGTATTGGAATATCATATAATTGGACAATTATCTTTGATAGTGTATAATAAATGAGGTGGCTTTTATCCAAAATGATCAAATTATGGGTTTCCCTCTGCACAAGAGACAGAAAACTTGTGTGCGAGAGAGTGAGAAAGTTGTCCCATAAGTAATAATTCTAGCTGTATTTGTTCATTATTGAGTTTTGGAATTGCGCCATCTTCTGCTCTATCTAGGGAGCTGTATGCATGAGCATGTCACAGTTCTGCCCTCATATTACAATAATCCAACTTTTATATGTTTAGTTTGATTATGTTAACCCGATATTTATTTGTTTAGTTTGACTTATGTTTTGAGGATATAAATAATAAAATTATTCATACCTATCTGATAATAATAATACTTAAAGACAAATTAAAATTTTAATTAATTTAGCAACCAACATTTCTACGTCATATTTTCAATAAATGAAAAATCATAACATATATTAAGAAATTATCATTTATTTATCAATTACTTAACAAATATGAAAAATTACCCACATTTAACAATATGAAAGTGACTTGTCAAGCCACTTCCCATCAAGATAATCAGATATCACTCTGCATCCATGCATTTGTCTGAAATCTTCTTCACCAAATAAAATTACCATGTGACCAAAAAAAAAAAAAAAACAGAGAAAAACTTTATTCAAGAAAGGAAATGATCAAGTGTGTTGATGATGCAGACAAGTTATGAGTTGCCTCTGCCCTCAAAGTGGTTCTGAACTTATGCTTGTTGCCACTATGGGACTTCTGACTACATGTTTCCCTCCTCCAACCTCCACCCAACTCAGTGAACCATATACCACCATCTCTTTCATCAATCTTGGACCTTCTATCTCCAACTTATAGCTTTGCTTCTCGTACCTCTCTGTAAAAACCAATTTCTCAGGCACAACCCTAACTTTCAATCCCTCCGTTGGACTCAGTTTTGAAACATAAGTTGTCATTCTCTCTCCTACATTAGTCAAAGTCCTTTGAAACTCTTTTACAGTGTTCAAATCCGATTGCGAGTCATTTGCATTGAAGAATGCTATGAGAGAAAAACTTTATTCAAGAAAGGAAATGATCAAGTGTGTTGATGATGCAGACAAGTTATGAGTTGCCTCTGCCCTCAAAGTGGTTCTGAACTTATGCTTGTTGCCACTATGGGACTTCTGACTACATGTTTCCCTCCTCCAACCTCCACCCAACTCAGTGAACCATATACCACCATCTCTTTCATCAATCTTGGACCTTCTATCTCCAACTTATAGCTTTGCTTCTCGTACCTCTCTGTAAAAACCAATTTCTCAGGCACAACCCTAACTTTCAATCCCTCCGTTGGACAGCTTTGTCTATTTGTCAAGTTTTCTGACTTAGGCATCGGAGAGGTTTCCGGCACACACCCGCCGGCTAGCTCACGTTTGTGTTTTCAGGTGACAAAGCGACGTCGTACGGAGGAGCGTGGACTTGGTCAACAGGATTATACGAGGAGAATTATTTCCTCCCCGTACACTATGAAAGATGGGTAATTCAGGTCTAGAGATGGGTTTGAACAAACATAAGAAGATGACCTTGTGATTGCATGTATTTGCTTCGTGGTGTAATGTAATGCACAGAGAAGATTCACGTAATCTTCTGTATTTAAATCGTATACGAGTCCAGGGTCTAAGGCCTTGTTTGGATCGACATGGCCAGCTCCGATGGCAAGTGGAGTGGCGGGTTTACCATTCCCAATATCTTGGATAGGGCTGAAAGTATTGTCTGTCGAATATGATGTTGTCATCATGGCAGATCTGATGGCAGCGGGGCTCCACTCGGGTTTCGCCGCCTTCAGAAGTGCCGCGATTCCAGCAGCATGCGGGCATGACATGGACGTTCCTGACAAAATATTGAAGTTATTAAAAAGCTGCCCGACCGAATTCAAATCAGTCACTACCGGAATTTTTTGAGGCCACGAGGCCAAGATTAGTGATCCGGGAGCCATAAGGTCCGGCTTGAGCACAAAAGGGCACGCCTGGGACGGCCCTCTCGAGCTATAGCTAGCCACTTTCGGCGCTGGCCTAGTGCCGAGGCTGGTTCCTTGAAATTCCATCGTTCCTTTCGGGTTACCGCTTGTTTTAACGTGGTCTAGAACAATTTTCCCATTCTGAAGATTTAAAAACACTGCTGGAAATGTGCTCTGGATGAAGAATTCTAAGTCGGTGTTGTTCGTTATGAAAATCCCACCAGTAACATTTACATTCTTAACGTTGTAAACTTGTTTGGCTAGCGAATCGTTCTTGTCCTCGCACACCACAATCTTGTTCCCAATCTTTTTCAGTTCTTTGAAATCGTGACAAGTATTCATAAAAATAAGAGTCGAAGAAGTTGAATTTCCGGGATAAAGAGATGATCCTGTGACGGTGATGCCATTGTCAAGAGTAAGATTAGCACTGAATTTGCGGTCAATGGTACCCGCAGCGACAGTGAGAACCCAAGGTGTCCCATTGTGAAGAGACTTAAGCAATGGTCCCTCATTTCCGGCAGATGTAGAGACAAAAATACCCTTCTCTAAGGCTGCAAATGTGGCTATGGCGATAGGGTCTTCGTACAACGGGATTCCATCAATGCCGAAAGACAGGGACATGACATCGACACCGTCCGCGATTGCCTGATCAATCGCCGCCAGAAAGTCTGACATGTACGAGCCTTCGTCCCAGAAGGCCTTGTACATGGCCACTCTGGCCCGCGGAGCTATGCCTCGAGCAGTGCCCGGGGCATAGCCGAAATAGGACACACCCTCCACATAATTCCCTGCTGCCGTGGAGGAGGTGTGGGTGCCGTGGCCGTCCGTGTCGCGGGTGGAGTTCACTGAAATTGTCAAGTTCGGGAATTTTGCAAGTAGGCCTTTGTTAAAGAATCGAGCTCCGATGAGTTTCTTGTTGCACATTGAGGAGTTAAATTGGGCGCCAATTTCACACTCTCCTTTCCATCTTGATGGAATTTTGGTCATTCCATCGTCGTCGAAGCTCTTGCTCTCAGGCCAAATCCCTGAGTCGACAAGCCCAATTATGATGTCTCTGCCATAGTTCGCCACGGGCCACACACCCGAGACCGAATTAAGGCCAAGAAATTGGGAGGAATGAGTGGTGTCGACTCTGAGCGGCATGTCTCTATACGAAGAAACGTAGCCGGGGGATGTTTTAACGGCTTCAATTTCGGAGGGAGAAAGACTTGCACTAAAACCATGGATAACATTACCATAACCATAGATGAGCTTAGAGATGGTGGAAGTGGCGGCGGTGGTGGTGGGAGCTTTAGTGTCGTCTAAAATGGAGGCAATGGTGGCTAAGTACCAACTATGGGGGCTAGAGAAGGCTTTGGGCATAGAAGACAAGTCCATGTGGATTATGTAATTGTCGGACTGTGCCAAAATGGAAATGAATGGAGGGATTATTAGAGAAATGAGACAAACATACAAGGTAAGGTGAGTAGCCATGGATAAAGAATTAATGGTGTTTTTTCGAACTTGGAATTGGTGTGGTTATATAGAGGAATAACAGGTATGGGAAGCCAAGATCTTCCTTCATTTTGAAATTTCCAACTTTGTCCATATGGTATATGTCTAAGCTAAAAGGGGACACCCTCTATGATTTGTGAGGATTTTACACAACCCAAAGTTTTTCTCCCTATAAATTTGATCACAAACTTAAATATAATCCCTTCCCATAAAATGAGTTTCTCCAATAAAAATTTAATGTAATGAAAAGGTAAATGGTAAAAAATTATTGAATGATGATAGCGGTAATGTGATACCACGTTTGTATTGAAGATTTCTTTATTATAATTATTATTTGTTTACGAATTTCTCATATCTAATAGATTCCACCCTAATATATGAGGTCACGGATGATTATGCCATCCGATTACAAATTATGTGCAAATAAAATTATTTCCAATAAATTTAACTTTACAAAAACACACCATCATTAAGATTGATTATTCTCCATAAAAATTATCAATATGTCCTAATAGTTGAACTTAATTCCCATCAACTCCTATTGAAAATAAGTCTTGGTAAAATTATAGCTAAAATAATTATTGTGACAATTTTTTATATATGTTGCTAAAAATTGACAATTAATGATTTTTTTTTGTCATGATTTTTATAAATTGTCACTAAAACTTATAATAGTGATTTTTTTTATGACAAATTTTTTTTCATAGGTCCATTAAACAAAAAGTCTACTTATTATGACGTACACGTAAGTACCCCTAAAATATTTTGTTTGTCCACATCAAGATTGAATATCAACGCAAGTGTCTCAGTATCGGTATGTTTAGGTGGAAAATCTTGATTAATCAAACTTGTACAATTGTATGTATTATATACATATATATATATATATATATAAAATTTAATATTGCTTAATTAACTATTTTATCCACACACTTGGTGATCATCACTCTCAAGTTCTTTCCAATTTCAAAACGTTTCGAGCTGTATACCCACACGTTATATTTTCCAGCGCACCATCTTCTTGTACCACGGATGTTGGTCGAAGCTAATAAAATGAGATATTTTAGGAACTCAGAATTAGTACATATTCACAGGGAAAAAGTGGATTATAAAGTGTAATCCACTTAAATGTGTGAACTCACTGCATAAGGATTAAATTTAGACTATATATTATTTTTTTGAATAAATTTTTCTATATGAATTTTGAGTCTGTAACTTTATTGTAATAAACAGAGTATTACAAACTATATTTATCTGCCATATTGTATTTAATATGAGTGGTGATACTTATTTTTTAAACATAATAATGTGACAATTTATTAAAATATGTAAGGTAATACTGTCTCTTATGTGTTTTTTAATTATCAAATAATTATCTCTTTTACATATTATTAAAAAGAAGGATATATAAAAAGTGAACTTATATATATATATATATATATATTTAATTAATATTTCAAACAATAAAATTGGCTGGGCCCTTAACCAATAAAATCAATTGACACAAAAATAATGGGTGGAACACATTGGCTAATAATATGTGGAACACATTGGCTAATGAGTCGTGTCCATAAGTGCACTGATCATTACGTTAATTCAAAAATAGACTTAGCAATATAATTGACTTGGTATTGACTTGGGGTGTGATTGTAACCTGCTTGGAAAATTATTCAATAAAATAATTTTAGAATATTAATGCATGTGGTTGTGCTAAAAAAGAAGATAGAGGATTTGTGAATGTAATCCAATACTATTGGATAGTGTTTGATTTATTAAAATAAAGTAGAATAGAATGATTATTTTATCAAATTATTCATTCTCATACTTAGTTAAACTAAGAAAATAATAATAAATACATTACTAATAGAATTATCTTACACCATTTTAAAGAATGGTCCTTCCATATGAAAAGTTAATAATGATAAGGATCATAAGCTTAAGTTGAACCCAAACACAGAGCAACCTCAGCTTCAGCTACACACAGGGCAGCTGTAGACGTGCCTGGATGTCCCGGAGCTCCGCGCAGCGAAATCGGTGCGGAAATCCCGTTTTATTCATTGGGCTTACTACAGTTCAGATTCAATGTCACGGTTCTGAATCTAATCTTGCAAAGTGCAATGTAAGACCGATAAATCACCAAAGAGTCCAAATCTGGCAAGTCGTTTTAGAAAACTGATTTTTGTAAAGAAGTGTCAAACATGGCCTGATGGTCATCATCGAGGCCTTAGGTTCTCCGATTTTGTGACCCGCTGGAGGGCTAAGGCCTCGATGATGACCATTAGGCCTGTTGACAAAGATCATATTCGGATGGTTGTGCGCAACCTCCAACCCAAACTCATGCAGAAGATGATCGTCCTCCCCCTCCCCACCTTTGCAGATCTACACGAGATAGGGGTACAAATCGAGGACGCCATGAAACAGGGCCTCATTGATCATGAGAGAGAACAGCCCAAGAGGGCATTCAACCGCAATACAAATACAGGCACAAGCAGTGCTGTAGCTGCCAGATCTTCAGATGTAGGTATGGTTACCACCACCACCACCACCCCAAGAACCCTTGCCGCTACACTATTCATCGGTGCGTCCGGAAGTAGCTCACAAACGACCAAGTATTCCCCCCGAGGTCAAAAAACCTTCACTCCACTATACATGCCCCCATCCAAAGCTCTGGGGGTTTGATGAAGAAAGGGCACTTAAATCCCCTAGAGTCGCGGCCACTACCGGACAGACTCCCTGTTTTCCATAACCCAGCCAACTACTGCACCTTTCATCAACAGCATGGTCATGACACCGACTAGTGCTTTCGATTACGTCATGAGATTCAGGATCTCATTGATAACAGGGTGATCATGCCTCCGGAGAAATCGAATATCACAACCAACCTTCTCTCACCACACAACCAAGCTCCACCTCCTAAACGCATCAATTTGATCCAAACTGGGGTTGTGTCATACGACCCTAGCATATATATCACCCCTTGTCACCTACCCAAGCCGGAGGTGTTCATTCCTGACAGCACGGACTTGTGTATGTTGGACATCTCCCAAATCCAACCAGAAGTAGTGGTGGTGGCTATCGAAGATAGGATTGGGTCAACTGCGGGAACAGATGAGAATGATCAGTCAGAGCCTGAGGGGCCTACGAACTTTATGTACAACCCGAGCGGTTACATTACATCAGCAAGCCAGGTCAAGCCGAATGTGGGATTGCCAATAGGGGCAGAGATTTGTGTAGTACGGGAGAATGGACCTAATCAGGGGCTAGATGACCTAGTGGATCTAGAAGAAGACATTGTAAATCTGCAGTTCTTTGAAGAACAGGACACAGGGGACGTGACAGTCAACTGGTTTGATTTAGATGGGTCAGCAGAGTCTACTGGCTGGCTTGACGACCAACCAGATGTTGTTGAACAACCTCAGCTAGAACAGGTTCCGTCAGAGACAGGGACATCAACAGTGGCCAGAAGGGCCGGGAATCAGTTTGCATCGCCAGAGAGCACCGGTGTTAAGAATTTTGCTTAGAACACAGATAGTTTGGGTACGGAAGAGACTGAACAGCAAGCCGCACTGAAGCAGCTTGAGCGGGAAAGGATCGAAGATTCTGAGAGGGCCAGGAAGGCCAAAGCCCCCACAGGAACAAAACGTGCTGTGTGCATAGGAACAAAACATGCTGTGAGCACAGGAACAGAAGGTGTTGTAGGCACAGGAATAGTTATAATGGAGCCGGACAGGTGTCTGTCGGCTACCGATGGCATGTGGTGGGAAGATGACGACCTATGTCTTGCCCACACAGACGAAGATTGGGGGAACAACCAACCGGATGATACCTGGTATATTGGAGAGGTGGACCACATGACCAGGAGTGGGCGGTACTTCAAGCCCCCACACCTAGATCAACTAGAAGCGTCCGGGAAGGACAAGGAAACAAAGAAGCAGAAAGAAAAGTTACTTGAGGAGGAGGCTGTGTTGAAATAGCTGAAGAAGATACAAGCAGACATCTCTATCTGGGGACTGCTTATGGCTTCACGAGTTCACAGACAGGCTATCTTTTCGGCAACGGACAAGGCCAAACTCTCAATAGACACTACACCTGAACAGTTGGTAGGGTTGGTCTTTCCGGGAGGAGCTTCCCCGACGTTGACCTTTTCTGACAAGGAACTATCGCCTGAGGGCTCGGATCACAACAAACCACTCTACATCTCTGTGGAGTGTAGAGACAAGTGGATACCGGTGGTTCTTGTCGACACAGGATCCGCCATTAACGTGTGCCCATCGAGGACAGCATATGCAATCGGGTTGAAGCCCGCAGACTTTGTGCCAACCACCCAGGTGATACGAGCATATAACAATACAAGCAGAGAGGTGAAGGGGACTGTGCAGATTCAGACTAAATGTAGACATCCCCGAACGTCCCGAGAGGGAATCCCCGCCGTTTTGTTCATTGGGCTCACTACAGTTCAGGACTCAAAGTCACGGTCCTGTATCTAATCTCGCAGAGTGTAATGCAAGACCGATGAATCATCAAAGAGTCCAAATCCAGAACACCACCACTCCAAAAACAGCCAATCCCTTCGCTGGTACTTCCACTTGAAACTCCCAAACTCCGAATTATCCACCTCGAGGCAAGAGGGCTTTCACCCTGCTGTATATGCCTTTGTCCAAAGCTCTGGGAGTCCTAATCAAGAAAGGACATCTAAAACCGTTAGAACAACGGCCTCTACCCGATCCTCTCCTTCCAAAGCATGACTCGACTAAATACTATGCCTTCCATGAACAACACGGTCACGACACCGACCAGTGCTTCAGGTTGTATCATGAGATCCAGGATCTCATCGACAATAAGGTAATTGCACCACCACAAAAGCCGAATGTCACCACCAACCCCCTCCCACCACATAACCAAGCTCCACCACCCAAACACATCAACCTGATCCAAACCGCGGCCATTTCATATGACCCGAGCATATATATCACATCCTCTCACCTATCCAAGCCTGAGGTGTTCATCCCAGACAGCACAGACTTGTGCATGTTGAGCACCTTCCTAAGTCAACTCAAACCAGTGGTGGTGACTGTTGAAGACAAAACTAGGATGACTTTGGGGGTAGATGAGAATGTTGATTCAGAGCTCGAGGGGTCTGGGAGCTTTGTGTACAACCCG